TTGAGCTGTGATGTAACTATTTAGAGTCCTAGCCACTAATTAGGGCAGTCTCATCATGTTAATGAGGGTGCTGCAGCTTTGTTCACCTGGAAGCCAAAGGAGCCAGTGTCCCCTTCCCCACTGGTGGTGACTCTTGCTACTCTTGTCAGCTGCTTTTTGTTTTCTTTTTTGTCTCTGGTGGAGATGCAGGTCCTCATTGGTTGCTGTGTGTTCTTTCTATAAGTCCCACCAATTTGAGGTCTGTGACCTTCCTAATGCCTGCACTCACTGTTTCTTCCCAGGGAGTCTATAATGCCCAGAGCTGAAATCCTCATTGTCAGCTCTTGAGAATGGGGAACTTGGAATCATCATTTATGAATCTCCTCCATACTTGACATGTTCATTTATTTATTCATTCACCTTTGGAATATTTACTAGGCAGGAATAATGTCCTTCTCTTTGAGCACATGTAGATACGGGGCTAAAAAGTAGTGCACTGTGGCTCCCCAATACACATGTGTGAACTTGAATTAGACTCAGGGACTCCCAGGGAAGTGAAAGCACCATCAAATGATAGAAAGTGTGATGAGGAGCCGTCAGTGTCAGCTGCTTCCTAATAAAGGGCTTATTTTCAAAGAAGAGAGCTGGGCTCCCTAGGCAGTTTCCATTAGGGTCACCGAAAACCTCACAGAAGGCTTTGTTCTTTTAAAAGTTATTGGACAAATTCACAGACACATTGAATAGTTTTCCTTCTCCCTTTTGACACCACAAAGACCAAAGGAGGAAGCAGAGATACCCTAGTTCCTTTTTCCAGGCAAACCACAGGGCTGACAGCAACAGCCTGCAGTGTTTGTGGCTACCAGGGAATACATGTTGAGCTTAAAGAGTGGGCATGAGACTGAAAAATGCCTCTTTGGGCCCAAGAGGTGGGAAATTGGCAGCATCCATAAGGACAGAGACATCTGCCCACTTGTGGATAAGACACTACTTGGCCCCCAGCATCCATCCCCCTTCTGCCTGTGGGTAGCAGATCCCCCTCAAGTTTTGGTATAGCACACACATCTAGCAAGACCCTCTAATTCCCAGGCTTCCTTGTGGCTAGGAAGGCCCGAAGGATTGAGCAAATGTGGGTGAGGAGCAATTCCTGAAGGGTGCACTTAAACAGCAGAACAAGCCCCACACTGACACTTTCTCTCCTATCCTGCATAATGAGGGAGACTTTGAGCCAGCCATGGACATGCATACAAGGGTCATGGCAAAAAGAAATGCAGAGAGAAACAGAAGGAACCCGGGTCAGTGCACAACCTCAAGGAGTGGACTGTGTCTCTTTCTACCAGCTCTGACTTTTCCGTGAGAGTGAACTAAACCCTCCCTCTTGTCTCTCCTTGGCTTCCGTTAAAATGCTGCTAGCAACTATGGCACATCCATCTCTTGACCAAGGCAACAAGACTCTGAGCTGCTTTTTCTGCTAGAATAAGATAATAGAAGCGGCTTGCTGGTTTCCCAGTGTACCCCAAAGAAATGCTTTTTGTTCCTCCCATTTGTTGTTCCAGGCTGCTCCTTGAAGGCTCCCTGCAATTCAAGCAGTGTGTCCTAAATCTCTCAGTCCTCTTAGAATCTTGAGGTGAGGACTGGGGATTCAGCTCTGCAGCAGAGAGCTGGCTTGATCCTCAGCATCAAAAAACAAATAAACAAATAATCTTTTTTTTTTTTTTTTGGTATTGAGGATTGAACCAAGGGGTGCTTAATCCCTAGCCCTTTAAAATAATTTTTTTAAAACAGATACAACATTTTTAAAAAATATATTTATGTGGTGCTGAGGATCGAACCCAGTGCCTCACGCATGCTAGGCAAGTGCTCTACCTCTAAGCCACAACCCCAGCCCCCAGATACAACATTTTTTATATGTTTATTTTATTTATTCATTTTTATGTGGTACTGAGGATCAAATCGGTGCCTTGCACATGCTAGGCAAGCGCTCCACCACTGAGCCACAACCACAGCACCCCCAGCCCTTTTTATGTGATATTTTGAGGCAGGGTCTCCCTACACTACTTTTAAGGCCTCGCTAAGTTGTTGAAGCTCATGATCCTCCTGCCTCAGACTCCTGAGCTGCTGGGATTACAGGCATGTGCCACTATGACCAGCTGGGAAAAAAAAAAAAACAACAATCTTGGAGCAGTTCTGCTTCATTTTAAGGAGTTATGCAAAGGCTGGAAAGACTGCCTTGTTTAACAAGCTCCAGGTGATACTGATGTGTGAAGTTTGAGAACCAGTGACCCAGGAAATGAGAACTGAAAATTCATTCTTTTCTTGAACTCTGTGGTGGGGTGGAGCAGTGGAAAGGAAAGTTTTGTACTTAAACTAAGAGTGATTTCTCCAATCTTCTCTGATTTGGATGTTGTTGATTTACTTTGTTTTGTGAAAACTTGCATGTAGTACTCTCACCAAGTCCAAGCCTCATGCTATTCTCACTGGAGGTGACATTGACTTCCTGCTTATAATTAACCATGAAGATCACTACTTAATTTGGAGTAGGGGAAAAAAAATCCTAACAATTAGCCTTAAGACTTATGGGGGAAGAAACTGATCCTAAAATAGTTGAAAAAAGTTCCTTAATACACCCTCCTTTTTTTTTTTTTCTTCAAAGACTTGAAATTCTCTTTAAACAGCATTTATCATTCAGGACAGGAAAATGCCTTCTTTAACTTTCTGCAGTGATATTTCACTGCATTAGAGACTGAATAACCTTTATGGAACCCAGCCGGAGCCTGCTCTGCTGTCATGAGACAGGAAATCTGTTCTGACTGACTTGGTCATTTGCTTAGTTTTGGCCACATTCTGTACCGCCTAAAACCTCCACTGCACTTGGCCAAGACCTTGGAAGCTTGTCAGTATTCACGTTCTGCATATGTGATTTACGATATGGAAGATCTGAAGAGTGCTTTTCCCTGGCTAGTGTCACTTTGCTTTGAAAATGGAGGTGACAGGAGCATCATGTTAGCAGAGACCTTGCTTAAAAGCTTGACCAAACCCAGGGTTCAGGCTGCTATAATATATTATTGCTTGACATGCAGAAACAGTGAGACCTTTTAAAAATTAGTATAAAATTATTTTTGAATAGGACATTAACAGAAAGAAATGGTAAAAGATGTAGACAGAAAAAGATCAAGTTTAGGCCTAGCAAATGTGAGGCCCTGGCTTCAATCCCCAGTACCACCACCCAAAATGCGAAAAGTTGGGCTGGGGTTGTGAGTCAGTGGCAGAGTGCTTACCTAGCATGTGTGAGGCACTGGGTTGGATTCTCCGTCCATTGACAACAAAAAAATATTTTAAAAAAAGTGCAAAATGTTTTGGGTGAAATTCAAAACCTATGACTTAGTACATTTGTCTCCAGTGTTCTCTTAAGGTCTCTCTCTTTTACCTGATAGGATCCACAGGAGATAGGAAGAACCATTGTGTCATTGCACAGATTGGTAAACAGTGATCATGGGAGGGTAAAATATATAAGTCGAGATGAATAACCACTAAATGGCTACTTTATGTGAATTTTTCATTCGTTCCTCATGCAGCCAAATGCGATGAGTTCTGTTCCAACTTTTGCTGACAGATGAGGACTCTGAGGCACTGAGGGGTTAAGGCCAGCTCCAGAGTGCACACTCTCAGCTCAGCAGCTCTGACCTGCAGCTGCTATGCATCACCTTTATTTGAATTAGGAAATCAGGAATTTAGGAAATTAGTGAATTAGGAATTCACTGCAGTCCGGGTGCTACAGTGAATGCGTAAGGCGGTGGAGCACAGGCTGGATTCCAGCCCCACGAGCTCCCTCTGCTGGACACCTTCGTGCAGCAGCAACAAGCACACGGCTTCTCTGTGGCCCTGCACAGACTGCCCGAGAATCAATAGTCTTTAATGTTTCCACTTCTGCAAGAAGCAATGAGGACAAAAAATGGCTCTGCTACCTGGGCCTAGCCATGTCATAAAACATGCCCTGTGTGCCCTCAGGGTAGGGCTTCGAGTCAGTTCAGGGCATGAGGCTTTAACTATGCTGAAAAGCCCAGTGGTTCTGGGCCCAGTGTTTCATAGAACTCTCTCTCCTTCCTCTGACCCCTATCATCATCAAATGCAGGGTCATTTCTGGAGTAAGCTACCATCAAGCAGCTCTTGTCACCCAGGGCTGTGGGTGATGGGGGCTGGGTCTGTAAAGAAGATGGTCCCTGTTCTGTTGGAATAGTGTTTCTCTAGGCAAGAAACCCCAACCCCTTTGCCAAACCCTCCACGAAGGCAGGTGGAACAGAGAGGTGGAGGTGCTTGGGGGGACTTTTTAATAATGTCCCCAAAGTTTTCACTCTCTTGCAACAATCTGCTGTTTCTCGCAGAAAAAAAAAAATGTTTTAGTTAGCTATTTCACTGTTGTGACTTGAAAAGACCCAACCAGAACAAATGTAAAGGGAGAAAAGTTTATTTAGGGGCTCATGGTTTCAGAGATCTCAATCCATAGACAGCAAACTCCATTCCTTGGGGCTCAAAGTGAGGCTGAACATCATGAGGAAGAATATAGCAGAGGTAAACAGCTCCCATGATGATCAGAAAGCAAAGGGAGAGACTCCATTCACCAGATACAAATATATACCCCAAAACCATGCCCACCTCCTCCAGCCACATCCCATCTGCCTTCAGTTACCACTCAATTAATCCCAACAGGAGATTAATTCACTGATTGGGCTAAGGGTCTCACATTTCTCCTCTGAACCCTCTTGCTTTGTCTCATACGTGAGCTTTTGGGGGACATCTCACATCCAAACCATAACACAACAGAACAAGGACATAAAATACATTATCATTTGCTTGTGTTTCACTAAGAACACAGAGTCTGGACACTCAGCAGTTTTTGGTCTGTGTTATGACTTTAAATTCATAACTGGAAAGGAAATGGAAGGGTCATTAACAGCTTTGAACAGCACAAAGTTCATGTGATGATTATAGTGATAAGGTTCTACAATCTGACTAGCTGTCCCTACCTTGGCTGACTTCATCATTTTCTCTGAGGGATCCTCCTGGTTCTTCATGAGAGTCCAGTTCATCTCCACTTTCCTATTGGGTTAATACAACACAAAGAATACAGAAGACAAGATGAATGCAAATATTCCTCTGGTCCATGCTCTTTGGTAAAAGGGAATTCAGTTTTCTTAGTTGTTTCTTCTTTTTCTGCGGGTGCTAGGGTTGAAACCCCTGCCTAGAACCTGTGAGGCAAGTGCTGTACCACTGAGCCACTTTCCGAGCCCTTTTCTCCTTCTTTTTCAACTTCTTTCAGCTTAAGTGTCCAGGAAGGCTGCTACTAGTGTGATTAGATTTAAAAGAACCAGGCAGACTTAGCAGTGGCACCAAGTACTCATGATCAGTTGTGCTTTTTCTTTACATTTTTTTTTCTTTCTGGTACTGGGGATTGAATAAGGGTGTTCTACTACTGAGCTGCACATCTTCAGCTTTTTTTTCTTCTTCTCATTTTTAAAATTTTGAGATAAGGTCTCACTAAATTGCTGAAGCTAGTCTCAAACGTGTGACTTTCCTGCTTCAGCCTCCTAAATTGACGAGATGATAGGCATGGCCATGCCACTGCACCCGGCTGTACTTATCTTGAAGGGGTCTGGTTCCATTCATCTGTGCACTGCTTGATGTGTGGCACATATAGGGCAAGGCCTGGAAAAAGAAGCAGGGCATCTCCAGCAATTTGGCAGAGGACTAGACTGGCCAGAGCAGAGACTAAGAGAAGTGGGAAGGGTGGAAAGGGGTCAGAAGCCCAAGGCCTTGAAGGCAGGCTGAGGATTTTGTCCATTATTTTGAGAACAAATGGAAGGCATTGAGGATTAATAATAGCAGGGGAACCAAAGGGTCGGCATGGCCTTGTGTGGAGTCCCCAGGATCACCACGGTTCAGTTTTTTAGTGCATTCTCTCCCCTTTTCCTCCTCCTCCTCCTTTTTTTTGTGGTGTTGGGATTGAACTCAGAACCTTGTCCATGTTGGACAAGTGCTCTGCCACAGAGCTACACAAGCAAGCCCCTCTCTTTCTTCTTTCTCTGAGTTAATCAGCTATTTGCAATCTCAACACCCCAAAATATCTAAAACAGTGGTTCTCAACCCTGGCTGTACATTAGAATTATTTGAAGAGTTTTTAAAAAGTATAATTCCAGACAATAACATCAAAATCTCTAGAGCTGGGCTTTTTTTTTTTTTTTTTTCCTCTTTCCAGTATTGGAGATTAAACCCAGGGGTGTTCCACCACTGAGCTACATCCCTAGCCCTTTTTATTTATTTATTTATTATTTTGAGACAGGGTCTTGCTAAGTTGCTCAGACTGGCCTGGAACTTGCAATTCTCCTGTCTCAGCCTCTTGAGTAGCTGTGATTACAGGTGTGTGTCACCAACTGGCTGAGTTGGGGCATTTTTAAGGTTTCTGCTTGATGTGTCTCACATGGAGAAGAACCACATATTGCACATGTGGTTTCAACATGCAGCCAGAATCGAGAATTACTGATCTTCTCCAGAGGTTTAAAGGCAGCTCTTTAATAGTGGAAGAAACATGGCAGGTGGAGTTGGTGACTCAAGTAAAGCCCGATGTGTCTAATGAGGCCTGTGATTGGCCTTTGTCACCTGGGTTCCAGCTCCAGCCACAGCTTCATTTAGGCAGTAGAGCTGGAATCTAATGTGCAGGGCCTTGACAATCTGCTGTCTTATTCTCACCCATTAGTGACAATCAATTTCCTACTTTATCAAATACCAGCCTGCTTTGGGAAGAGACAACGGCTCATTCAGCACATTCTACAATTCCTTCCTGAGTTGCATCACTTACTGGCTTTTTATCATCTGTTTCTTACTTGTTAGTTGATAAGATATATTGACATAAAAAAGGTAAAGCAGGTAAATAATTTTCTTTTGTTTGGGTTTCTCACTTTGGAATAGGCAGATTTGTACTGGTACAGTGAAGAAAAAAAAAATCCCTGAATAAATGGAAAGGTTTAAAAAAGTGTAACAGGAAAAAACAACAACAACAACAACAACAACAAAATCCTGCCTTAGTTGCAGTAAATGCCCTAATTAGAAGACCAGAAAATAGATACATTTTTTAAGGGATCCCTGTGTAAAGCCTTTTAATCTAACAGGAAATTGGATTGAAAGTCAAAGTGAGAAACAAGCTTCCTCTTTTGGAAGAATTTCAAAGCCAAGAATAAAACTTACAGTCTTTTTTTTTTTTTTTTTTTGTGGTACTGGGGATTGAACCCAGGAGCATCTTACCACTGAGCTTCATCCCTAGCCTTCCCAACCTGCCCTTCCACCCCACCATTTTTTTTTTTTTTGAAATTTTTTTTTCAAGAATTTTAATATTTATTTTTTAGTTATCGGCGGACACAACATCTTTGTATGTGGTGCTGAGGATCGAACCCGGGCCGCACGCATGCCAGGCAAGCGCGCTACCGCTTGAGCCACATCCCAGCCCTTTTTTTTGAAATTTTGAGTAAGGGTTTCACTAAGTTGCTAAGAGCCTCACTAAGTTGCTGAGTCTGGTCTCAAACTTGTGATCCTCCTGTCTCAACCTCCTGACACTACACTTGGCAAAACCTTCAGTCTTAACAACATGTAGCTATGAGCCTTCAGGGCAAAGAATGTTCTCATTTCACAGATGGAGAGTTGGAGGCAGAGTCAGGGATTTGGAAAGCTCTTCAAGCAAATCCTTGTTAGGAAAAAAAGAGTCTTAATATGAAATTCTGTCCATTTAATTGTATGTTGCTTAGAAAAGTGTCCAAAGAGCTATCTTTTTAAAAGATATGTGAACACACATGTGAAATAACACCTAAGGTCATTCATTCATTGGGAAAGATTGGAAATAAATGTCCCATCAACTTGAGACTTTAAATAAATTATAGTAATTTGTACAATGGAAGACCATACAACCATTAAGAAGAACAAGGTATCTCTTTTTGAATTAACACAGAGCTCTAAGAAATACTAAATGAAAAATAACAATTCTGAAAAATATGTATAATATACTAAATTTGCACAAAAAATCTTTTTAAAATTTGTTCTTTTTAGTAATCTGCACAAAATTTCTATCTCCTATTTATCTGCACAAAATTTCTATCTCCTATTTATCACATAGGAAACTGGTAATAGAGATAGTCTATGGGAAGGGAAATGGGCAGCTGGGAAACACACCATATTATACTTGAAAAATTTAAAACTTTGTCAGTACATTTTATTTTATTTTTTGCAGCACTGGAGATTAAACCCAGGGTCCTCTATTACTGAGCTACATCTGTAGTTTTTATTTTGAGACAGGGCCTCACTAAGTTGCCCAGGCTAGCCTCAAATTTGTAATCCTCTTGTGTCTGCCTCCCCACTTCCTGGGATTATAAGCATGTGCCACCATGCCCAGCATATATTTAAAATTTAAATTAAAAATAAACTAAAACTGGGGCTATTGTGGTGGCACATGCCTTTTGAATTTTTTTTCCAGATTTTGAAATATTTTCATATGTATAAGGAGATATCTTTGGGATGGGACTCAAGCCTAAAAATGAAATTCATTTGTTTCAGATATACTTTATACACATAGCCTGAAGATAATTTTACACAATATTTTTAGTGCATTTTTTAGTGCTACCTGTCATATAAGGTCAGTTGTGGCATCTTGTTGGTGCTCAAAAAGTTTCAGATTTTGAAGCATTTTGTTTCAGATTTTCAGATCATTGATGCTTATCCTGTAGTACTTGATGAATAAGTAAAATAAACTGAAAGATTGCAAATTCATATCTCAGCTCTGTTATTCTGGCAAAATCATTAGTTCTCCCTTTATTCATTCAGCTAATGAACATTTATTGAATGTCTGTTGTGTTTCAGGTACTGTGTGTGCTAGGTACTGGAGGCACAGAGATGAAAGATCTATTTGTAAGAAGCTTACTGACTTGTGGGGAAATGATGAGAAATCTCACAGTTGCAATGCAGTGTGGTAAATGCTGTGACAGATTATAACAGGTTTCCACAAGACCTCACGGGAGGTGAAACTAAATTAGGTTAAGAAGTTTTGTTTACCAGTGGACATAGTGCTAAGTCTTGCAGTGAAGAGAGGATAGGGCGATCCCAGGCAGAGGGAGTCGCCTGTGCTGGCTAGGGATAGTCTGATATTACTGCAGTGTGTGGACAGTGTAAATTAGACACAGGCCAGAGCCAGATCTTGCATGGTGCACTTTGGAGTTTTAGAAAAATTGCATTTGTTTTATGTTCCCTGTTATCTTGTAACAGGAATATATCTTGATACTGGGAATTTAACTGAAAGACCAGTCTTTACACAGTAAAGACTTTCAAGCAAACCAGTGATAAGAACTGAGCTGCTTTGGGAAAAAGCAGCAGTATAGAAGGAATTATAGGTCTGGGGCAGGGAGGGAGGAGATTAACAAACTCTCTATAAACACAAAGGGTAATGCTGTAACCAGCACATGAGAGGCTCTTCCCAGACACTGGGTTGCAGATCCTGGAATCAGTCTGCTTGCCCTGAAGTCCTATCTCCTGCCCCTCATGTCTTACAGACCATGAGAGAGTTTCTTAACCTTGAGCCTCAGTTTCTTCTAATGGTTCTGCCCCCAGCCCTCATGCCTAGCACTCCATCTGAGCATAGTTCTCCTAGTCTCATGGCAGGTCTTCCTAAGACACTGTTGGATGGGGAACATAGGATGCAGGAGAAAGAAGGGGCACTCCTCTCTGCCTCCCGTGACCTGTATGACTTCTCATTGAACCGAAGTTTCTCTATCTGTGAAATGACAGTAGTAATGAATATTGTACAGAGTTCCTGAAAGGCTTAACTAGGAAAATACATCTGGAAATTTTGTATAATATGCCATATGATACACAAAAGTCAATTACTATTTTCAATACTTTCTTAATGATGGAAGAAAATGAGTATTTTATTTGAAATTTTCAATTTCAGGGTAGTCCAGTTTTTCTTGTGTACTTCATACTTCTCCTTAGTAAAGAAAACTGATGCTGGGGGTGTAGCTCAGTGATAGAGCACTCGTCTAATACATGTGAAGCCCTAGTTCCATCCCCAGCACTGAAAGAAAAAAAATCTCCTGGGGCAGTGGTGCTCACCTGTAATCCTAACTACTCAGGAGGCTGAGGCAAGAGGATTGCAAATTTGAGGCCAGCCTGGGCAATTTAGCAAGATCCTATCTCAAAATAAAATAAGATAAAATAAAAAGGACTGGGATGTAGCTCCATGTAGAATGTCCCTGGGTTCAATCCCTAGTATAAAACAAAATACAACTGACTCAAGAAAATCACAAGGTACCTTGTATGATTATTAATAAGTTTAAGATGTTTTTTCAAATCTCTGTTCTTTCTCAGGTTCTGAGGCCAGAACAGGGATGTACAATTAAGCTGGTCATGGGAACAGAATAGGCAGAACTCTCTCAATATGGGGTACTGTGGACTTTATGGCCTTGAAACCCAGCTCCTGCTGCAGGCAGCCATGCCACTGATCATATCTGAGCCTCAGTTTCCTTATCTGCATAGGAGAGTTCTGCATACTTACCAGGAATTGGGGAGTGAGGGTGGGGAGATTAAATAAGGCTTAATATATGAAGGACTTGGCCCTCAGCAGGGATCAGTGAATGTTCGTTCCTTTCTCTCTCACAAGGTGCGTCCTTTATAGATGTGAAAATTCTTTGAAAGCTATTATTTCATGTAATTCTCACTTCACCATTAAGAGGCAGGTGTGGAGTTCCCAGTATTACCATCTCCATTTTACAAAGAGGAAATGGGAGTCCCAGAGCATTTCAAGGTCACTCAGAGTCAGAGAAGACCCAGAGCTTCCCAACTACTAGCCTGACACCTTAATATTGATCACATTCCACTTTAATCCCAAGCTTCTTTCTTTTGAAAATTTAAGACTCACTGTCCTGAATATTTTTTCCTGGAAATATTATTCGAATGTCGTGGAATCATTGAATCTTGAAACCGAGCTCTGATCTTGAAACCGAGCTGTTCCTGCCAAGTGGTTAACAAAGCATATTTAAAGGACTCTGGGGATTGGAATTTATCTCCTAAGGTACCCTGCTCCATCTTTGGGCAGCATCTTAAGCCAAGCATTATTTTCCTGCTACTTTCAGTCTTTGAAATTCATGTTGTTCCACCTCAATGTGACCACAAGATTTAGTGGCAGTCCTCCTCTACTTGGAGGGATGTCCCACCTCTGTGGGAGGGCTGCTCTGACCTCAGGCATGGCTGGCTCTTGTGCCTGCTTTGAGGCAGGTCCTTCCACCTTGCACCAGAGGACACCATGCTCTCACTGTGATGGCTGTAGAGTGGAAGTTTATTTCTCATTCTTTGTATTTTCTGGACATAACATACATACATTTTCATGCTAATATGGAGTAAAAGTATATTTGAATGTATCCCTAGCATTCAGAGACATTATTGCCATTTTCTTTCTTACTACAATGACCTAACCCTGACAATTTAAAATATCTATTCTAATTTATTAACCACGTACCATTTCTTTTTGAAAAAGAATAGATTAAAATAGATTAAAAACAAAACATAGTTCAATTTTTATACAAACTCAGAGTTACTCAGGATTGTATTTTCTCAGATTGAAGCCTGACAGAAACAGGTTATCAGCTATCTTTAGTGTTGTAAAGAGGTTCTTAACTAAGCGGAGGATTCCATGTGCAATAACAGAGAAATAAATGGTTCTCTCTGGTAGCAACCCCAGTCTGCCTCTGCCACAACATTATGCTGATATTGTCTGCTACATTGTTTATCCCCCTCTTAGATTATAGGCTCCTGGAAGGTCGAGGGTGCAGATGATTCATTTCTTTATCCTCAGGGCCTGCATAGTATCTGATACACAGAGGATGCTCATTGTAAGTTGTTTGAAGGGAACTAAATGAACGCTGGGAAAGCTTTATATTTCCATAGAACTCAGGTAGGAATAGAGAAAAGGGCTGAGTCTTGCAGGATAAGAAAATCTTCCTATAGCAGACTGAATGCATGCACAGAGTGGAATTTTCTAGAAGGATTGTGCTGGAAGCTTAGTTAATATGGCCGGCAGTGCTTTTGATTGGATAGGGCTCAGCTGGGGTGTTCAGCAAAGCTTTACAGCAGATGATTGAGCACAAGTTCTGAAGCTGGGCGGCCTGCCTGTGAATCTGTGTCTGCCATTTACCACCTGACATTCTGCAAGTTACTTAACTTCTCAGTACCTTATTTTTCTCATCAGTAAAAAATAGGTACATTCTTACCTTCAGTTTGTGAATTAAATGAGTTCCTGCATATAAAACTTAGAACACAGCCTAATAGAATAAGTGCTCAGTAATGTTAGCAACTGTGATTATTTACATCTTTCCATTTTCTTTTGCTGCCTTTGTCTTATCTCCTACCCTCATCTCTTTCTATACGTATCAGGCAAAAATGAATAAAATGCCCCAGGGGTGGGCAGGAAATACATGAATGAAATGCATAGGATGGTTTGGTTCCCATGCAGCTCCAGCCTGGGTGCTTTTCTTTGTTTAAACTAACCGTTCTTGTCTGTTATAGCCCTGAGATGGTGTCATTCTGTGATGCATTTCTCAAGAATCCAGGAGCTACCTGTCAATAGGGAGAAGGCCTAGGTAGGGTAAGCTGTTAACACTCAACGTTCCCAAGAGAAGGTGTGGTTTTCTGGGTAGGGACTTGTCTGGGAGTAGGTGTTCTGTGAGTCCAATGGAATTTCCATTCACTGAGTCTTGAGGAGGATGGACTAGAAAGTGGGACTGAAGGATGTTGCATTTTTCCTTCTTTAGGGCTGTGCCAAAATTGCAGAAGAAAAAAGTGTAACACAAAAGCTTTGTGAACACTGAATATACGAAAAAAATTATTGTAAAGTTTCCCACTCTGAATACTTTGCTTATTTGCTAATAACAGATGCTAATAATAATTTGTTGCCTACACTAGTATGGGACAGAGTAGGATTTTGTTCTTCCCAGCCCCTGTGTTTTTGATTCTTATTTTGTGGTGCTGAGGATGGACACCAGGGGCCTCGCACATGCTGGACATGTGCTCTACCATTGAGCCTCTACCCCAGCCTGTCCTGGTCTGTTTTGTTCACAGATGTATCGGATGTTCAGAAAGCGCAAGACACTTAGTAGGTAACCGGTGCTAAAATATTGGTTAAATTAATAAATAGCAATAATGATGATGATATCACATCCCAGGAACTACCAACCATAGTTCTTCAAGTCCTAAGGGAAGAACTAAGTCATTATTAAGAATAAACAGGATAATTTTACTAATATAAATAATAATGCATGTCAACAGTTTTTTGAATTCTTATAGCAAATATCTTTTTGTTTTTGCTGCCCAGAATCATTTTCCCTCCTTATATTTTTGTTTGTTTTTTGTTTGTGGTGTTGATTGAACCCAGAGTCTTGTACATGTTAGGCAAGCGCTCCATCACTGAGCTCTACTCCCAGCCCTCTTGTAGTTTAAAGCACCCGGTGAGACACCCTTCTTTTCTCTCTTTCTAGTCCTTGTGGCTCCAGGCTAGGCTGATGGCATTTCATCTGGGCATGCCACTAAAGACAGTTTCACATTCGGTTCTGGAATAATCTGGGCAGGAGAAGCCAGTGGCCATCTTACCACCGCTGGGAAAAGCCTAAGAGGAAGCCCAGGAAAATGCAGTCACAGACAGAGACACATTTGGGTCAAGTGCCTGACTCTTAATCTAAGCCCCACCTTGCAGAACTGGGCTTAGGGCAGCTCAGAGAGGTGTCATCTGAGAACTCTGAATTGGTTGAGGGTAGGAAGGTGACGCTCATGATCTCCAAAGTCCCTGGACCTGTCTACATAGCACTAGGGGTGCCATCATTATGAGCATTACAAGGGTCTCTTCTCTTTCCCCCTGTCTTTCTGAATCACTTCCTATCAAGGGCCTGGAATGGTGTCCCCTAAGGTAGTATGAAGGACCTGAGATCCTTCCATGCCAGACATGGCTTGGTTCCTGGTTAATTTCTTGGACTCCATGGTCATATATTTCCAGTTCAGTAAACTCTTAAGGAGGCAAAAAATGGGTGGGAAGGGCCCTAAACAAAAGGGCTTGGGAGGAAAAGGGTGGGCCAATTCCTGGAGCACTTGGTGAGCACCTTCCATGTGCCTGGGGATGCTAGGGTGGGAGGAAGTACTGCAAAGATAGACAAATGACATCCTCACCGCAAGAACTCTCGGTGGCCTTAACTAGAAACAAAGCTGAGCTTGGGAGATCAATGAGCTCTTATTAGAGAACAGGAAACAAGGCCAGATATCCAAAAGAGAATCTGCAGTTGACTTCTGACTAGTTAACTCAAGAATCAGTCTTCTTCACAGTAGGAGTATCAACTCTACCAAGTTACAGTGATAAACAGTAGCAATTATGTTAGCTACTGTCAAGATAAAATGAATTATATTTGCCCATTTTATCAGGTGGTTCAAAGTTATCCTTATTCTTCTCTGTTCCCTGTCCCCACCACCCAAACCAGACACCCAACTGATTTGTTCCCGATGGCTGGCTGTGATTACTGTCCTAATTTGTTCTTTCCTCATCTGATACAAACTGCGTATTTTCTGTCCCTTCTGATAAATCAGGAGCACTGAGGGACTTCTGAAGCTGTTTTTGTACCATGCAGAAGTGTATTAACTGGAATTCCTGTGTATGTGTCTATAAAACCCCTCGTCTTCTCAGTGTGAGATCACCTTCAGGAACGGCGTCATGTCGATGTGCAGCTTGCGTGTGTAAAATTCTTTTCCGTTTGAACAAATCAGCCCTTTATTTATACAACTTTGAGGTTCTCCCGTCTTCTGAGCTGCTGCCTCCAAGGACTGCGGGGCTCCCTGGGAGAGAAACAGAAAGCCCAGCTTTCATAGGCATGACACACAGAGCAACAAGAGCTAGTCCAAATCCCCCAATATTTATAAAAAGCAATGTTTTCATCATGGAACACTAATAATAACACCTATTTTTACCATGGAAGACACAGGGGACCCAAATGTGCAGAGAATAACTCAAGACTGGTTAATAATTAGTACCCAGGGAAGTGGAAAAATGGACCTTCCCAAGGTTGTAATTATTTCATTTAATTCTCTGGACAACCCTGTGAGACAAGTATGGTACCCCCATTTCACAGATGAGGAAGGGAAGCTTCAGGAATGTAAGCAACTTGTTCAAAGCCATTCAGCTGGCATACAGCCGACCTAAAATCACTGTCCAAGACTCCTTTTTAAATTAGATAATTTTGTTACTTTTATAGTTTCAAATAGCTAGGAATGGTTACTAAATCTGCCTTGCAACAAATAAGGTCACAGCAAGATTTCAATTTATTTCCAAGCTGAAATGTATTCAGTGTGTTAGGAAGAGTGATTGGAACAAAAGTGGCTGAGAGGGAAGGAAGAATGGGCTAAGAGAGGAGGCCCAGTGTGGGGTGGGGTCTGTCTCTTCTGCAGTCACCACAATGTGCAAATGATGTCACATTTCTTTCTTTATTGTGTCCAACTACAACTTATTTTTTAGTTGTAGTTGGACACAATATCTTTATTTTATTTATTTATTTTTATGTGGTGCTGAGAATTGAACCCAGGGCCTTGCACATGCTAGGCAAGCACTCTACCGCTGAGCCCCAACCTCAGCCCCAAATGATGTCACATTTCAAGTACCAAAAAGCTTGACCTGAAATTGCCTTCCAGCCTGTGCCCTGCACTACAACCTGGGTGATCTTTTCAAAAGGCAAACTGCCCACATTACCCCTCTGCTTAAAACCTTTAAAGGCCATTGACCTCAGGGTGAAGGCCAACAGGCTTAAAAGGTTTAAGTTTCCTGCCCAGCCCTGGACTATCTCTCTGGCCTTGTTCATTCATTCAAGGAATATTTATTTGATGCCTTTGCTATGGCAGAAAGAGTGAATCCAGCAGCGGAAGTCTGTACCCCCATGAAGAGTGCACCTCCATTGCACAGAAAAGGAAGAGAGAACAGAGAAGGAGAGGAACATAAGTTATGTCTGAAGGTTATTTGTGATATAGAAAAAAGAAATACAAAGGTGTTGAAGGGCAGATGGGGATAGATGTGGAGACCTCAGTGTTAACCCATCATGTCCCATCTTCTATATATAGGTCACCTATAAAAATCTATAACATTTTATAGGACACCTACAAAATTGCTCAATTTAAGTTTTTATAGGTGCCCTATATATAGGACAGTGGGACAGAGTGGGTTAAGCAGGAGAGTTGAGGAACGCCCCACCAGAAAGTGAGGTTTGGCAAGGCTCTGAAGCAGGTGGGAGAAGGTGTGTGTGTGGCTCTCTGTGAGAAGTGTTGACCTTACTGTGGAAACAGCAAGTACAAAGGGCCACCACCCACACTGGCCTTTCAGTTCCTGGAGCAAGACATTCACTTGCCCTTCCCTCTCCTGGGAACACTCTTCCTCCCTTTCATGACCCCTCAGCCTTCAGGTGTGGCTCATCTGTGCCCTCCCGGGGCCACTCTGTCCCCATTGCCCATAGTGATGCTGAGACTGTGCAATGCTCTCCCCACGAGATGACAGAAGTGATAATGGAAGCAATGACGTAAGCTTCACCAGCTCAGGGACCATAGCTATCTTGTTCCTGTTGTCACAGCCGTGCCTGGCTCAGGGCTTGGAAATGAACATACAGTTGCTATATACCTGCGGAACTGATGGGTATTGGACACAGGAGCGAAGGACGCCAGAGGCAATCTGCAGATAGGGCCTGCCTCAGTTCAGAGGAGGAGGGGGCAACAGCACTCCTCCACAGGGAGTGTGTGCTGACCTCTGGAGGCCTGACCTCTGCACGTGGCACTGGCTGCCCATTCCCAAGGAGGAAAGTTATTTGTTAGTTTTGGGGACTGATTTGCTGGGGTCATATACATTAGTGTGCTATGAGATCACCCTGGGTGTGGATTTGATCATTTCCATATTTTCTAGGAGACGAACTCTCAGATGTCAGTCTCTCTGGGCAGTTATAAACTCTCCCTCCCATAACTTTTATATTACCCACAAGTATTCATGAGGCATGAACAGTTGGTGGGTCCCCACAAGTGGCCATCATTCCAATGAACACCCACACCCTTTTCCTTTGTTTTGAAATGTGGCTTGAGATAAAGATTTTCCTGAACAAATACATATCCAATTTCTTGTCATCTCAGCCATATATCTGATTAGTTTCTCAGGGTGAGACGGCTCCTCCCCTTTTCCAGATCAAATGAAAGCTTTTGGTTCAAGCACAAATCATACAAAACATTTCAAGCTTTCACGCCTCCACAATCTTGCATAAATCACTGGATGGAATAATAGAAATCAGAAAGTACTGATTTGAGGGAAATGTCTCCATTATCTCTAAAGATTTTGTGTTAGACAAAAGACATAGCCAAGACCAGTTCCAACGGATGGGATTACTTTCACTCCTTATGTGGACTCAGATTGAAGACCAGAGACTCGAAGTGCTTTCAAGAAGGTCCCTCCCAGCCACTTGACCTGTAAATTTTTTTTTTTTCTAACAATTCTCTTGACTGTATGGCTCATCTCTCTAATGATTAGGGGCCATCAATTCTAGCCTAACGGAATGTTTTAGTGAAGGCTCTGTAACCCCTGGAATGTGTAGTACTTCTTTTGCCTATTATGTGCAAGTGTTCTATCAAATCAATGATAGTGAGAGGGAGTTTGGGAGATGGGAGGAAAGAAAAGATTGAATGTATAAAGAGGATTCTGGAAGGCAAAGATAGGAGGAGAAAAATGTTAGACAGTTGAAACCAGGAAAGCAAGTCATGTGCTTGAGTTGTTTTTCATTTATTCATTAAATTGATACTTTTGGAGTGTTACCATGTGTCAGACAAATGAGCACATAATGAGATGATTTGAGGTGGTGACTCATCTATGAAGACAATGCAAGGGTAGTAGGATGGAAGGTGATGGGGAGGCGCTGGCCACTTGCCTTTAGTTGGTTAGGGAAGACCTCTCTGAGGAGGTAGCTTTGGAGCCAAGAGCTGGGTGGCGAGAACTAGCCAGCTCTGGATGGATCTATCTTTAGCCGTCAGAGTAGTCTGTAGCTCTGTGGTCTGAATATTTGGAGGCTAAACTCAGGCAGGGGTTCTTTCGAAAGGAAAGCTGAGCGTTCCTGATTTCTAGGCCTGCTCTGCCCCAGCCTCCTAGGCTCTATGTATCCTGTTTTCTCAGGGGTAGAGCCTTTGAACACTTCCAGCTCTTGGGTATGTTGAGAGCAAAGAGAACAAAATAAAGAGTAATCAGAAGTCTAGGTCTCTAAAAGCATAGTGGGGAGAAGAAAACACAAGGCTAGTTGGGTGCAGTGGCCTGGTATCTCAGCAGCTTGGGAGGCTGAGGAAGGATTGTGATTCAAGAGCTAATGAATTCAAGAAAATCCATGGATCACAAGTTCAAAGCCAGCCTCAGCAACTTAGTGAGGCCCTAAGCAACTCAGTGAGACCCTTGTCTCTAAATAAAATACAAAAAGGGCTGGGGATGTGGCTCAGTGGTTAAGTGCCCTGGGTTTAATCCCTGGGAAGGAAAATGGGGGACTGGAAGAAAGCAGAGAAACTTCAAGCTGTTTTTGTTTACTTCATGTGCACACTTTGGTGGGAATGATTTAAAAACTGATGGAAAGGTTAAATCAAAACCCAGCTCTTCACCTATATTGTACTGTAAATAATATTTTATGTTCTCCTAAAAACACCTGGAAGCCTTTCTCTTTAGTAAGTGAAACAATAAAGATTAACTAGTTAATTTGGTAAAGCTGATTTGAATTGCACAGAAGGCATTGAGTAATACTTGGCATTTAAAAAGTTATCTGACATTTAAAAGGAGATGACTGCTAATGAATTCAAGAGCTAATCTTATACTCTGACAGAGTGAGCCATGGAAAATCCAGGATTATTATCTTGCTGTAAACATAATGTGATTCAATTGAGCTATCAAAAAAGGAGCTATTGCTGTATACAAATATCCATAGGCACACATGTTTACCACAACTTAAAGGGAATGGCCATTAAAATTAAGTAAATTCTTGTCATTTCTTTTCTTTACCCATGGACTGTAATACCTGAGTTGAAGACCCAGGGGAAAAAAGCCTTCTTCCCAGTAATTTTTTCTCCTCCTTTCAGTTGGTATTTTAAAGAGTCATTATCAGGAGTTGGTTCTACAAACAGACCTCAGATGTCTAATGTAATCCCAGCTACTTGGGAGGCTGCGGCGAGAGGACTACAAATTCTCGGTCAGCCTTGGTGATTTAGCAAGATTTAACAAGATTTAGCAAGATCTTGTTTCCAAACAAAGGGTTGAAGATGTAGCTCAGTGCTTGCCTAGGATGTGGGAAGCCCTGGGTTCAAACCCTAGAAGAGGGGAGTGGGGGCAAGGAGAAAGAGAGAAAGGGGAGATTCTGAACCCAAGCTGTCACATCCCCATGGGTCTCACAGTGTAACCAACCATAAGGATCTGTCCTGTAGGCGTCCCTCAGGCCTTCCTCCCACGGCATCTCCCACTCTTTTCTAATTGGGGTTCCCCACCTTTGTAGCTGCCGCTCAATGGCTCCAAGAAGAGCTATTGTCCCTCATTAAGAAGGCTGCAACACTCTGGCTGTCTAACTGCCTCCCACGCAGCTCACAACTTCATTCTGCCTGAGAGGGAGCTGCCAAGAGTCTCTGGGAACCTGTGGGCAAGCTGAGCTGAAGGAAGAAAACAGGAGGAGGAGGGCCTTTGTAGCCAAGATCTGAAATGCACGGGGAACACACCCCACCATTATCTTAAAGCATGGGGAGCAGGTGGGGAGGCCTTTGCTGAAACCCTTAAGAGGTCTATGAAGTTGTCATATCAA